GGGTACTATCATTTGGCCATCTTTAACTAGCAAGTCGAATATTTCATCACATTTTGTGATGTCAAAACTATAAGTCTTTTTTGGGAACCTATCGTTGGTCCTTTCTGGACCAATGGGATTTTTCCCATTTGAGGGGACTAACAGTTTACAAGAGTATGGTGGCCCTTGTTTTAGTTCTGCTAAATCGACTTCTCCTTCTTCGACAGTTAAAGTATCGTCGAAGGATTCTAGATCTTCGTCGTCCATCTCAACGTACGCTATTCTCTCTCTCTTGTGAGTTTTCGTTGCCTTAGCTTTTTCAGCTTTGAGGCGTTCTACCTGTCGAACTCTATCGGCCAGTTGGGCCATGTCTCTTAGGTATTGGGTGTCTAGCTTCTTCCTAATGGAATAATCTAAACCGCCTGCGGCTATTTCGACCAACTCATGTTCTGGCACTTGTGTAAAACATCTCGCCTTGAGCAACCTAAACCTATTTAGATATTCGTCTATAGGTTCGGTGAAACGTCTCTTCACACTGGCCAGTTCTTTCAGGCTTATCTTGGTCTGCCCCATGTAGAATTGTTCATGGAACAATCTTTCCAACTGGGTCCAATGATGGATCGAATTGGGGGGAAGAGTTGTAAACCAAGTAAAAGCGTTCTTGGTTAAAGAACTTGGGAAGTACTTGATCCTTAGGTTTTCGTTATTCGAAATGTCTCCCGCTTCGATCAAATATCTCGCCACATGCTCGACAGTAGATTCTGTCGTGTCCCCAGAGAACTTAGTAAATTTGGGGACTTTGCATCTAGGAGGTAAGTCCGTTTGTAACACGTATTCTGACAATGGAGATGTAAAGTTGGGCCTTCGAAAGCCCATGTTCATCCCATTCTGAGTCATGATCCTTTCGATCATGGTTGCCAGATTGTTTTCCAAACCCATGTTTTGGTATTGGATATGCTGAACCACTTCGTCAGCATTTTGGTTTCTGTTAACTAACCTTACCTCTGGGGCTATTACCCTAGGTTCTTCGACAGGTTGTTCCAATCGTGCCCTAAGGTTTTCTTCGACAGGCTGTTGAGCCTGGTTAATGGTGGTTTCTTCCTCTAAAAATATCCCCTGATTTCCCCTTATTTGCGCCCTTTGGGGCTGTCGAACAGGTTGGGGTACTCCAAAGAAGTCAGCCAAACGCGTCATTTGCGCTGTCACTTGCTGATTCGATTGAGTAGTGTTTTGTATTAGAGGGTTTAGCACTGTACTCAAAGTTTGTGCCAACATTTGCACCATATCATGGTTGCTTTCGTCCATCTGTTGCCTCAAGACTGCTGTCGAGGCATTTGTGAGGCCATGGGCTACTTGGGACGTTCCTCCTAAGAGTTGGGTCCTATTTCTATTCGCCATGCCTACTCCAGAGCCTTGGAGTGGCGAAGAGGCACTCACGAAAGGGTCTGAAAAAGTGGACGCAGCATTCGTCAGGCTTGCCACTTCAGAAGTTGGCATACCATAGAATGGAATAAATCCTGGGGGAACCAAAGGCCTTGTGCCTAAATTTCCCCTTGGTGGGGGAGTTCCCAAAGGTATCCTGGGGCCTGTTAACGAAGGTATTGGCCCCGTGGTTGTGACCGATACTGCTGGTGTCGAACCAACGTTTGTCGCTTCACTTACGGTCATACTAACCGTTGCTCCCACACTCGTTTGTGGGATTTCGTTATTGTTTGGCGGATTCTCCATCTCTTCCCTCCTTCTGGAAGTATTGTTATCGTTAGTGTATATTCTACCACTTCTCAATAACATACAACTCGGAAAGATGAGATTATTTTCAACAATCAACACACAGTCCCACCAGGTGTGCCAATTTGTTTACCTTGGGTTTTGGTAAACAACCGCTGATCCTCCAAATGGTTACTTATTTGGTTATTCGCAGGATCGATCAGATTGATCCTAGGACATAGGTTGATTTTGAAGTTTGATTGAATTGGATAAGGCTTTAAATAAATTGGCTTTAAATGAATTGCATAAAGGAAAGACTTGGTAAAATAAACAAGGCTTTAAAGTAAAAGGTTCGACAAGAATGTAAAGGAGAAAGCAAGTAAATTTCTGGAAAAGTAAATAACTTTAATTGATAAAATTGGTGTTTCACACATACATTTCTCAACAATTCTTTCTCACACGCTGGGTACTCGAATCTATATGAGTGACTTTGTATAGAATTGTGAACACACGCGAGAAACTACATGTCTACTCCTATTTATACTAAAACATCCCAAGTAACCGTCGGGCAGTTACACTGCTTCGAGATCAATCCACTTGGCACGTTCTCCATGCTCGACGCTCCAGATCCTTGCACGTTTGCACGTAGTAACTGCTGGAAACCGTTTTCCCTCCAAAAGCTTTGAATTTCAAACTGCTCCACCCTGAACCGTCGAACACTTTCGTCAAGAGACATCTTCGACGAGAAACTCCTTCGACGTCGAAGGCAACCAGCCTTCTTCCTTGGAAGAAATCTTCTAAGTACTTTGCCATCTTTCGACGGGCATTTCGACAGACTTAACCAGTCGAAGACATCCTTCAGCTTTAATGGCTGACATCAATCAAAACAAAGGTGTCAAATTTAGGAGCCAACAATAGGTTAGATAGTAAGCATAGGCTGTACAATCATTCTAACTATAGTGAAATCTCTTTCGTGTTGGAAAGGGGACTGGAGTACTCTCGGATTGTGAGGGGAACCAGGATATATCACCGTGTTCTTTACTTTTCCGCATTTATCGCTTTCATCACCATAATCAAGAAAAGATAAAGATATAAACAAAACCTTCAAACACTTAACCAAAATTACTACCAAGCATTCTCATAAAACCGAGTAAATTTTTATAAGACCTAATTCACCCCCCCCCCCCCCCCTCTTAGGCACTCTGAGACTTACAGAGAGGTTACTTAACATGATTTGTCACGAGAGTGAGAATTAATAAATGTTCGAGCCGATAGAGCGAGAGCGTGAGGATATGACCGGATAGTGGGAACGGGGCATTGATCCTAAAGAGGGAGAGAGCGCTTTAGGTATCGATTATGACTTAATTAGTTTTCAACATACGTTTCTTAATTTGAATTGGTGAGCAAGAGCAAAATCTTATGGTTAGGGAGTGTGGCTTTATTCAATAGCGCGAGAGTTTGAGACTTAGCCTTTAAACTAATATTTTCTACTAAATACTATTTAATAATAAATTAACATCAATGAGTTACAGAATCTCTGAGGTACACGGAATCCATATTCTGACCTCTCTTTTTAAATATTTATCTTAATATTTATTTTACTTCAGTTTTACTTCTAAGTTTCCCTTTAATCTAATATTCATAGTCTTAGATTTACAAAGCGATGATAGATTACAATAGGTTGATATTGGTCTCTGTGGGTTCGACAATCTTTTATATTACTTCGATATGTATGTGCACTTGCTGACGCATCACACCCTTGAAATTTCGAAAATGCCATTAGGTAAATTCAGAGATACATATTTGAACGTATCCTTCATAAAACAAACATCAAATTGGTTCAGATATGCATCTCCGAATTCATCCTGAGTTAATTCAAATATGCATATATGAAAACATTCACGAACCCATTTTCTACGCATTTTCATTAAAATTGGGTCAGTTGTGGGAACTCTGACAATTTTTTTACCAATATTATAGTCATTGGAATTATATCCTCGCGTTCTGGCCCTTGTGTTCTTTCATTTGACCTTTACGCGACCTAAAGTAAAAAACTCGGTTTTCTAGAAAATCGACTATGAATCAAAATTTTACCGTGTCAATTCATCAGAAAAAATTCCTTGTTTTTCTATTTTACCGTGTCAAATCATCATAAAAAATCAACTATGAATCAAAATTTTACCATGCCACCCTAAAAACCCTAAATTCCTTGGTTTTTTATTTTATTTGATTTATTTTCCATTTTCATATTTTCGAAAAAAACTGGAAAAATTTATAGACACTTAATTTGATTTTTTAGTTGTATTTTCATTTTTTTATAACTTTATTTTAATTATTATTCTATTTTCTAATTATTTTTCTAAATAGAAAAATAGTTGATATTTACATATTTGTTGCATTAGTGATGTATGATTATTAGGTGTACTGATCCGGATACATCTAATACTTTAAAAAATATATATAATATTGAATTTTTTGGATATGCATATTTGATTTCACCATTTTTCGGAAAAAATAAGATTTATTTAAATTACATCTTCAAAATTAAATATTTTATAAAAAATATATATTTAAAAATACATATCCAAAAATAAAGAACATTTAAAATTTTCGTACAGTATCTAAAAATATTTATAATGGTGCAATAAAAATTGCCCTACTTAAGTTTTAACAAACGGTCTCTAACTTAAAACATGTAGAATCATTTCACAAATATTACTCTCTCCCAAACAGTGACTATCAAAATTGTGTTTTGTGATACATTATATTACATTATATTTTCACATCGTAAAATCATTTGAAGACAAATGAGACACTAATAGTGGAGCTGTTGGTTGTTGTCGAAGGGTCTCAGATATTTTTTTGAAGATAAGGAAGTTTTGAAATATTAAACTCATAACTTAGTCACGTGTAATTGTCTAACTCATATTCTACCTTTTTCAATATTAAATAAATGCATAACCTCACCAAAATATTAAATAAATATTTTATTTTCAATTATAATAAAGCCTTATAAATTATTTTGATCGATGGAAATATATAGGTAACCATCTCTTTCTAAGAAAGCATTTCCAAGTTTATATCTATCTATTCTAGGATAAAAAACATCCATGAAGAGCCCCACTTTATTGCAATTAGTTGGAGTCTTTATACTCTTCATATACTACATTAAATGTTAAGGATAGCGTTTAAACAATGTTATTATTATGAGTACGTAAGCTCAAACGTAACTAAATCCACCATTATTTTCACGATGCAAACTATATATAACACCACACTTCACATTCCTTCTTAACATATCAATCGACACAAAAATGAGCACTTTCTTTCTCATACTCATTTCTCTCTTTTTCCTTATCATCACATTGAAGTTCTTCTTCCGCACAACAACACCAAGGTTCAACAACCTTCCACCAGGCCCTCCTTTTCTTCCTATAATTGGAAACCTTCATCAACTCAAACAACCACTCCACCGCACTTTCCAAACCTTATCACAAAAACATGGCCAAATCTTTTCTCTCTGGTTCGGTTCTCGTCTCGTCGTTGTTGTTTCTTCGTTAACAGCAGCACAAGAATGTTTTACCAAACACGACATCGTTTTAGCGAACCGTCCTCATTTCTTAACCGGAAAATATATTGCCTACAACAACACTACAGTAGCACAAGCACCTTACGGTGACCATTGGCGCAATCTCCGCCGGATAATATCAACTGAGGTACTCTCATCTCACCGTTTAAATACCTTCTTGGAAATACGAAGAGACGAGATTATGAGACTGATTCAAAAGCTAGCACAAGTTTGTCACAATGGTTTCTCAGAAGTGGAACTTAAGCCATTGTTTTCAGAAATGACATTCAACACCATCATGATAATGGTGTGTGGGAAAAGATACTATGGTGATGATCTTGACGTGAGTGATGTTGAGGAAGCAAGGTTGTTTAGAGAGATAATCAAAGAGATCGTGGTTTTAAGAGGAGCAAACAACGTTGGTGATTTTCTAGGGTTTGTAAGGTGGTTTGATTTTGATGGTTTAGAGAAGAGGCTTAAGAGGATAAGTAAGAAAGCAGATTCATTTTTACAAGGACTCATTGATGAACGTAGATTTGGAAAGAGAAACACTGATACTATGATTGATCATCTCTTGAAACAGCAACAATCACAACCTGAATACTACACTGATCAAATCATCAAAGGATTTATTGTGGTAAGTAGAAATTTTACTTAATTTAAACTCACTGCTTAATATGCTGTGATAGAACAAATCCATGATTCCATATGTTTTACTTATTTTTAAGACACATATTAATATTATCCTTACTAAAATTAGTTAAGCTTACTAAAATTAGTTAAGTTGATTAAAATATAATAAAATAAAATATATTATAAAAGTTACAACTAAGTGTAATAAAGTGGAGAACCTAATAGAAATATTTTTCTTAAAAAAAATTGCTAACTATATTTTCATTCATGAATGTAATATATGCAAATAAAGAATGTGGGCCAATGGATAGCCGTATCCATTAATGCTTTACTAAAGTTCGATTATAAAGACATAAATAAGATAAAAGTACTTTTATCATTTGTGTTTATTGATATTGATATTTTGTTGGATTTTTGTAGGTTATGTTACTTGCAGGAACCGACACATCATCTTTAACCTTAGAATGGACTATGGCAAATTTATTAAATAATCCAAATATATTAAAGAAGGCAAAAGATGAATTAGAAACTCACATGGGACAAGATTACTTGATAGATGAACATAATATTTCCAAACTTCCTTATCTTCAAAGTATTGTTCATGAGACTCTTCGATTACATCCAGCTGCTCCATTATTATTGCCTCATTTGTCTTCGGAAGAGTTTACATTAAAAGAATATATTATCCCACAAAATACAATTGTAATGGTAAATGCTTGGGTCATTCACAGAGATCCAAATTTGTGGACTGATCCTACATGTTTTAAGCCCGAGAGATTTGAGAAAAAAGGTGAGACAAATAAATTACTTTCATTTGGAATGGGAAGAAGGGCTTGTCCGGGAACAAATTTGGCTCAACGTACAATGATCATAACTTTAGGGTTATTGATTCAGTGTTTTGAGTGGGAACGTATAAGTAAAGAAAAAATTGATATGGCCGAAGGAAAAGGAATCACGGTGGGGAAAAAAAATTCTTTAAAAGTAATGTGCAAATTGCGCCATCCACTAAAGATTAAAGATACTTCTTAATTTATAAATGTTTGAAATTTGTTTAGAAAAGATACATGATATAATAATCTCAAAGGTATTTTTAAATATGTAATTCTAAAATGCAACTCAATAAAATTAAACTATTTTCTAATTATTTAATATTTAATTTTGTTGAAAAGTATATATATATATATATATATATATATATATATATATATATATATATATATATATATATATATATATATATATATATATATATATATATATATATATATATATATATATATATATATATATATATATATATATATATATATATATATATATATATATATATATATATATATATATATATATATATATATATATATATATATATATATATATATATATATATATATATATATATATATATATATATATATATATATATATATATATATATATATATATCACTCTATCACTTAAAAATAAGAACTTATTTAAATTATGAATGGAATATTTTATATCCCACAGTTTCACCCCTACCCTCATTTATTTATAAATGAAGTTATAAGTTATTTAAATTATAAATAAAATATATCATTTAATTGATGATCAGTATCAATGAATTACATATCTATCACACTCTTCAAAACATAATTTCTAATAAAATTATATTTTATTTCTATGTGCTTAGTTATTGAATATTGAATAGAATTTCAGATAGATAGCAGCAATATTATAATATAAAATTGGAATACTGCTTCTACATATCCTATAGTCTTCTAATTGATATTTCATCCAGATTAGTTGTGTGCAACAACTTGCACTTGAGATGTATTATGCTTTTTGTTGTAGACAAAACAATAGTTGTTTGCCTTTTATTAGTTCAAGATGGAAGGTTTTCACCTATGAATTGACAGTTTCTACTAGTGGATTTCCTCTCAATTTTATCCCCTGCATAGTCAACATCACATAATCCAACTAGCTTGTAATCTAGAGATTTTTTATAAAGCAACCCTAGATTAGTTGTTCCCTTAAGATACCTAAAGATTCTCTTAACATCAGTTAAGCCAGTCTCTCTAAGATTTGACTGAAATCATGCACACAAATAGACACTAATAAAAGACTTATTTCATTTTTGTTCACATGATATTCTTATTTCAAATACTGCCTTAGAATGATCCACTTAAAGGAGAGCTTTCACAATATGTTTCAACCAATTCAGCCAAGATATTTTAAGAAACAAAAAAAAGCTGAGGGATAGCAAGAACAAATTTTATTTTACCCGAGAGCATACCATTTCCTAGTTAATATAGCTCATTGAATGAGCATATGTCAATAGAATATGAGAGATATTAAAAATCCAACAAATAAAGAACAAAAACAGTTCAAATGACTTTTTAGATAAGTGATACATAAGTGGGCAAAAGATATTTTAACTAAAGAATAATTTCCACTTATATGCTATGAGAAACAATTAATCAAGTTCCAAGCATCAAAGACTGAGATACTTCAGAGTCTACTATTCATCATAAACTTGTTTGGAGCTTCAGATCATCATTAGACTTTGATCATTCATTCAGAAATCAACATTAATCTTCAACAAAATGCATGTTCATATTTTTTTTAATAAAATCAAATATTTCAATAGTAAGAGGTTTGGTAAATATATCAGTCCATTGATGATTAGTATTAATGAACTATATATCTATTACACCATTTTGAACATAATCTCTAATAAAGTGATGTTTGATTCCAATGTGTTTGGTTCTAGAATGCTCAACATACTTTTTTGTCAAACATATAGCAACAGTATTATCACAGAATATAGGAATACCGCTTCCACAAATATGATAATCCTCTAGCTGATATTTCATCAAGAGTAGTTGTGTGCAACAACCAGCAGCGAGATGTATTCTTCTTCTGTTGTGGATAAAATATTAATTTATTGCCTTTTACTAGCCCAGGATATAAGGTTTTCACCAATGAATTGACAACATTCACTAGTGGATTTTCTTTCAATTATATCCCTAGCATAGTCAGATTCACATAATTCAACTAACTTATAGTATAAGGATTTCCTATGAAGCAATCTTAAATTAATTGTTCTCTTCAGATACCTAAAGATCCTCTTAACAGTAGTTAAGTGAGTTTGTTTAGGATCTGAGTGAAACCTTGCACACAAGCAAACACTGAATAAGATATTTGGTCTATAATATGTTAGGTAAAGTAAAGAGCCAAACATACCTTTGTACAACTTCTGATAGACTTTGGTGTTGATTTCCTCTTTGGTCAGATTGCAGGTTGGAGGCATAAGAGTAGTCATGATCTTGAAATCATCTAGCTTGAACTTCTTTAGAATCTCTTTTGTGCATTTTGTCAGATGAACATAGACTCCATCTTTGCATTGGTTAATTTGACTTCTAAGAAATAACTTCAGCTCTCCCATCATGCTCGTCTCAAATTCAGCCTGCATTGTTTCATAAAATTCTTTTCAAATAGTAGCATTAGTATAACCAAAAATAATAGCATCAACATACATTTAAATAATTAAGATTCCATATTTCAATATATTTCTGAATAGTGTAGTGTCTACTTGACCCTTTTAAAAACCATTTTCTAATAGGAAATTACATAGACTTGCATACTAAGCTCTGGGAGCTTGTTTCAGACCATGGAGTGATTTCTTAAGTTTAAAAACATTTTCTGAGTGAATTTAATCCCAAAAGCCATGTGGTTGTTTAACATACACTTCTTCATAAATAACACCATTTAAAAATACACTATTAACATCCCTTTGATATAAAATGATATTATGGTTAACAACATAAGATAAGAGTAATCTGATTGTATCTAACCATGCAATCGGTGTAAATGTTTCAGAGAAATCAATACCTTCTTATTAATTGTAGCCTTGAGCTACAAGTGTAACGCCCGTTTATTTAATTAATTATTTAATTAAATTATTTTTGGATTATTTGTTGAAGTTGTGAGATGTTGAGAATTGTTGGTATAAGTTGTTATATTATTATTAATTAATTAATTAGTTGATTAATAATAATTATAATGTTAGATGAATAACATATCAACAAGATGTTATAATGTTATATTATTATTAATTAATTAATTAGTTGATTAATCCTTGAATGCATTACATGAATAACATATCATTCATCATATGCATAAACAGGTCTTCACACCAGGTTTCCTTATCTTTCTGCTGTTTATTTCAGCAAGATGGATTTGGAGCAGACAGTTAAGGATCTGCAAGCACATAATTCGCAATTCCAGCAACTCCTCATGACCTTAGCAAAGGGTCAAGAGGAAATAAAAGCACTGTTAGAGAAAGAGAAGGAACCAGAAAGGAAGAAAAAGAAAAGAGTTGGGGTAGCCACTATGGGAAGGAGATTTGAGCATCAGGCTAAGAGAGTGTTGGAATTTCCCTTGACATCTGACGAAGGGGTTGGTAAAGGAAAAGGAGTTGCATTGCCTTCTGAATTTGAAGCTGAAGAAGAAGAAGAGGAAGAGGACGAAGATTACTCCGAACAGCAATATCCCCCGGCGGATGATAAGTATAAAAATCTTGAGGATCGGTTGGCAGCCATGGAGTTGCAAAGGGTACCTGGTTTAGATTTCGAAGAACTAGGATTGGTTGCTAGGATCGTCATTCCTCCCAAGTTCAAAGTACCTACATTTGCTAAGTATGACGGTTTGTCCTGTCCAAAGATGCATTTAAGGTCCTATGTCAGAAATATCCAACCTCACTCCTCTGATAAGGATCTTTGGGTCCACTTTTTTCAAGATAGTTTGTCTGGCACGCAATTGGACTGGTTCTATCAACTTGAGAGATCTGATGTTCATAATTGGGAAGACTTGGCTGCTGCGTTCTACCGACAATACCAATACAACGCAGATTTAGCGCCTACTCGTACTCAACTACAGAGTATGGGTATGGCCTCTAATGAGGGATTTAAGGAGTATGCCTAGAAGTGGCGGGATTTGGATGGAAGGGTGAAGCCACCATTGTCGGATAGAGAGCTGGTTGACATGTTTTTAGGGACTCTGTCTGGTCCGTTCTTCAATCACTTGATCGGGAGCTCATCTGTAGGGTTCACCGAATTAATTCTGACCGGTGAAAGGGTCGAAGCTGGCATTAAAAGTGGTAAAATTCAGAAGGATGCCTCCACTTCCACTGCTATTAAGAAGGCCTTCCCAGCTAAGAAGGAAGTTTCTGCTATTCATACCCAGAGAAACCAAGGGAGAATAGAGCGCCAACCAACGGTGGTGGCTGTGATGATCCAAAACTCTTCAACCGATCAACCTCGAAACAATCAACCGAGATCTAATCAGAAAAGGGTAGAAAGGCCACAACGGCAATTCACCCAAATCAACATGACACCGACTCAAGTCCTCCCTCATTTGTTAAAACTGAACCTTACCAACTTGAAGGAAGCGCCGAAAAACCCTAATACCTCCTCTCCTTATTATCACTCCAATGCGAAATGTGCATACCACTCAGACAGTGTAGGGCATGATACTAACAACTGTTGGGCTCTTAAAAACAAAATCCAAGACCTGATAGACGCCAAGGAAGTAGAATTCGATGCGCCCGAAAAGCCGAATGTGATTTCTGCCCCAATGCCCAAGCACGGTCATAATGTCCATGCCGTTATGGAAGATCTTCATGTTACCACTATTGATGACCTTTTGACTTTGTTACCAGTAATTAAAGTAAATTTGATGAAAGCCGGGATATTCCCAGGCTGTGGAAAAGACTGTTACCTCTGTTCAAACTTGCAAGTTGACTGCCCACTGTTGAAATCAGGCATCTAACGCCTGATGGATACCCAAGAGATACTCTTTCAAAAGACTCCTGTTGATACTATCACTCATGTTACTCCTGCTACCTTTGATACTCCAACTAATGACATTGCTATAATAACCATCTCCGACGATCTTTCCAAGACCTGCAAAAGGCCTGTTAAGATTACGCCTGATCCTAATTTTGTGCCGTTGAAAATCACCATGCCGGGGCATGTCCCGTATAAATC